TGAGACGACATTGATGAGGGACATGAGAAGAACAACACCCATTAATGTGGGGGGCGGATAGTGGTAGCAATGGGGGCACTAAGGCACTTGCCCCCAGTTCTCAAAATATTTTAATTGGAACCCTTAAATTAATCCAAAAAATTAAAGTGCCCCAATCAAAAAATATTTTCCACCAATAAAAAATTTACAAATAAAAAAAGGAAAAGTGAAAAGTTTTAGATTTAAGTAGGAGTAACATCTAAAATAGAAATATATAACATTAGAAGCATATCATTTTAAGATGAAAATTTTTAAATTACAAGAATAGAAAATAAAAGTACGTGAAATTATATGAAATGCTTTTTGATATTTTTTCATTAGGTATTTGAATGTTTTTTTGACATTAACTTTATTTTTATGTAATTTTTTTGTCTTTCAACACTACTTTTAGAAAAAAAACCCTAGAACTCATTGTCAGCCAAAATAATTCTGCCTAATTTACGAGCTGACTCAGGCAGGCTAGAGTAAAATCTAGTGATTAATATTGTAGAAGAGGTCGTCAAAAACAGAGAGTATTCATATGAATTTATCCTAATTATAATGAATATAAGTAATTTATTAGAACATTTGATTAGGGCAGAATCTAGGCTACCTGTAGAGCTAGATAGAACCGCCCGTCCTTACGAAGTTTGAGCAGAATCCTCTTGAAGTCGTCCCCAGGAGCCTTTTTCTTGTGATATTTAACCCAATTGTCCAGATTACGTTTGACGCAGATTTTGGGAGTGGCCGGACGAGTAATCAGCGCCCACAAGCTCTTCCGGGGTTTCACTGGCCCGGAAATACTGTTTGTATGGCAGCAGCGATCCCATCCCCGTCGCGCTGCCGGCGGGAAACGTAACCCTAATCCCAAACGATTGAGCCCGAAGTAGGAAATTAAACCCATTGCAATCTTCTTCAATCCGGAACCATCGCCGCCGATGTAATTCTGCTCTGATTCCGATGCTCACTCTTCTCTTCCGACGACACTAATTTCGCTGGTGCTTCTTTTTACGGCGGACGGCCCCAAGGTCTTCCGATTTGTGTGACTCGGCCCAACATATTCAAAATCAATTTGTGTGGTTTCCACTTGGTGTAACGGCCCACCATATGCAAAAATTAATATGGTTCCCAATATCAAGAGAAACCACTCGATACTTTTAATTCTTTATGGCTTTGTTTTACTAAACGCTTCATTTTATTTAATCATTGACGTTACACGTAGAATTTGAACATTACGTAACAAAATTGATGAAAAAATAAATTTTGTACGTAAATAACCGATTAGAAGATATAGAATAATTATTATATGACAAACGGAAAGAAAGAGAGTATAAACCCAGTAAACTAAACTAGTTATTAATATGTCTCCGACTCTCTGTGGTCGCATATTCTAGTTATTAGTGGAATGTGTGCTTATTAAGCGAGCTGATTGTGAATGTTGTCCCATTGTCAGTTTTGCTAATTCATGTCCCGGATTGGCCATTCCATTTCAATATGAAGTGCAAAAGTGGCATTAGATTTTTGGATTTGGCCATTCCCTTTGGCTTCTTGGATTTGGCCATTGATTAGGTCCTATTTTTGAAACAACTAAACACGAAAAAAATGAACAAAACAGTTTCTGAAAGGGTTATTTACGTAAATAATCGGATACCAAATGGGTTGCTACCATTGTTTCACTCATCATATGAAGCATAAACTTACTGAGATGACTTGAACCAAATTATGATGATATAGCACATTAAATTAAATTGCAGCATAAGTTGTTTTAACTTCCTTGTTATGAAGGGATAAAGTTTTCAAACAAATCACCATTGCCAAACAATACCTATTGCAGTTTCAACCTTGGGATTAAAGTAACATTATTGTATGGTTCTCCATGGCATAAAAAGCAATATAAATGAAGATTCATAATCATAGTCTAAGACTGATAGTACAAGAATGGCCTCCTATAACACATTCCCGAAAATGAAGCTTACTCCGTTTTCTTCTTTTATTGCTTCTATTGTGCGGAGTAATTGTTTCAAGACAGAACCATGGATGGAGAATTGAAGCTGGAGAGTACTGTACTTGGAAATAAAGGGAATGGAAAACATGAATGCTGCTGCATAAATAAAACCAACAAACCAAACAGAGCACAGGAAAACAAAGCAAACTAATGTCCTAATATTACATCCTAAGAAGAGCCCAAGAGTTCTTTAATGCCACCCTTCTGACTTGCAGTCAGCCTTGTAGGGAACTTGATGTCAAACTTGATCCTCAAGTTCCCTTTCTTTGATGGATCTTTAGGGAGGGGCATACCTTCCCTAGGGACAACCTCCTCATAGTTAGGGTTTATGGGGGTGTTGATAGGGACTGTGAGGCTCCTGCCATCCAGCGTGGTGAGGTGCACCGTGTAGCCGGTGAGTGCCTCGGCCAGAGTTATCTTCTGCGTGTAAACCAAATCATTCCCATCACGCGTGAAGACTTTGTGAGGTTTCTCGTCGATTATGAACACAAGATCTGATGGGGTGATGCCTGGCAGCTCATTTCCTTTCTCTGGGAAGGTAATCTTTGTGCCTTTCTTCCAGCCCGGCTTGATGTTTATGGTTAAAATCTCTTCTACAGGCATTGTTTTGCTGCAAAAGTTGTGATGAAAAAGAGAATCAGTAAATGGAGCTCAGCTAGCTAATTGGTATCAATTGCTACACTTCTAGCAAGAATACCATTTTCAGTTATCAAACAAGATTAATTGTCTTTATGCATATCACCAATGTATTACAGAAACAAAAACAAACAGATTGTAATCCCAAACATGTTTGTTCCAAAATTGTTAATGTGATATTATTTGACCAAAACCATCTAAAAGCATGTTTGGGAGGCTTGGCTGTTTGCTTTAGTGCAAATTCAACTGATTTATTCAATGACTTTTGCAAATTGTTTAACGCTGTTCTATAGAGTAAAATGAGCAGAACAACCTCAAATAACACATCATAAAGAGACTATCATCTACAAGCTCCAAGCCAGACACTAAAAAGAAGAAAATAATGAGGAAACAGAAACTTACCCACTAGCATCAGCAATCTCTCTAGAAATCTTCATCTTCTTGGTGGTACCCTTGTAGAGATCTTCAAGACTGCAGGGCAGAGTCTGTTCAATGGGAGGACCTTTCCTCTGCGCCGCAGATTGGTGCATTGGTACGCCGCCACCATCACCACCAAATGAGGAAAATATGTTATCTCCAAACAAACTACCAAACCTTCCATCTCTCATTCCAGAGCCACCCCCCATTCCCCCAAAGGGACTAGAACCCCCGAAAAACTCTGCAAATATGTCATCTGCACTCCTCGGGTTGAACCGGAATGTGGTGGGCCCATCCCCGGTGGAGAAGAATGTTGCACCACCAGGACCACCAGCTCCGCCAGCACCTGGCGGTGGCACACCACCCTTAAGCCCCTCTTCGCCGTACTGATCATATACAGTCCTTTTCTGAGGATCACTTAGCACCTAACCAAATTCCCAGAAATCAAAAAAAGAAACATGAGCCTTCGTCATAGATTAACCCTAATTAAGAAATCAAGAATAATCAAAACACAGAATCTCAAGTTCAAATTAACCGAAGGTATGAAACAAATCGAGCTAAACATGTATAAGCAAACACTAAAAGCTGAGATTTAGAGGGATAAGAGAGATCATACATCGTAAGCTTCAGAGATCTGTTTGAACTTTGCCTCGGCCTCTTTCTTGTTGGTGGGATTCTTGTCAGGGTGCCACTTCATGGCCAGTTTCCTGTAAGCTTTCTTCAAGTCGTCGTCTTTGGCGTTCCTATCGACACCCAATATCTTGTAATAGTCCACCCCCATCTCTTCTTTGTCTCCTGCCCCCCCTTCTCTTTCTCTTCTTCGCGTTGTCAATCTTGATTGCCTTTTTTTCTTCTCCGGCGATTTCTTCTCTGGAAGAATCAGATCAGTTCCGTCGACTGCGCTTGTGTGATTGATGGAATGCTCGCGGTGCTTGGCAGGGGAAATAAGGCTACCGGCGTGGGTGGATTCGTCTGGAAATATTCGTCATCCCAATGGACCAGAAGGCTGTGGAAACTTCTAGAAGAGAATGGCTAGGTTCGGTGCGTAAAGTTGGAATTCTTTTTTAATCTTTATACGGGGGTGTTTTTTGTGGGTGGCATTGGACTCATATTTCGGGCTGCCCAAAGTGGGTTTGGCCCATGTTTCGTACATTATTATTTCTAACCTCATACATGTCTCCATATCTTTCCATCTCTACTTTATTTTTTTTTAAAAAAAAAGAGAAAATCCACATTTCGTTTTTCTATCTGAATGGTATTCACTCACGAATGGTAATTGCTAAACTTGAATAGGTAAGTGCCTAATTTCAATTCACCATTAAAAGGTAATTATTATTTTTTATTTAACACGATATCGTGTGTAATAAATTAAACATATGTGAAACTAATTAAGATGTAACGTGTGTAATAGAATAAAATGTTGAAATGGTAAATAACACCAAAATAGTGTATAATAAATTACAATGTTGAAATGCTAAAAAACACCAAAAATGTAATTTATACTCCCTCCGTCCACAAATAAAGTTCTCACTTTTCTTTTTCGTCCGTCCAAAAATAATCTTCCCATTTCTATTTTTGGAAAATTTTTTATGCTAAAAAGTCCAAATTACCCTCCCCACCCACTCCATATCCTCTTTTTCTTTTTCCTTCTCCAACCACCGTTTCCTTTCCCAATAATACCAGCCCCCACTTTTTTCTCTCTTTCCTCTCTTCTTCTTCACTCGTTTCTTATCTTCTTTATTCGACCTTCTTCTTCTTCTTTCTTCTTCTTTTTCTCCTTTTCTCTTCTGTTTTTTTCATGTAAATTGAGGGCAGTGAATCAGCGGGTTAAAGGTATATATGGTAGCTAGGCGGTGGCGGTGGTGGGGTAGCGAGGCGGTGGCGGTCCGATCTCCTCCTCTTCTTCTCAATTTCCATGGTCCAACGCCCAATTATCTTCAACCCTTCTTCTTTCTTGTTCATCTCCGTCAGATCTGAGAGTTTTGATTCGGATCAACGTCGACAAAGAAATCGACGAAGGTGGCGGAGTACAAGCCTTCCTTCTTCGTCTTTTTTTTGTTCGTGAAATTGAAGGAGCGGCCGGAAATTTGATGGTCGCCAGAATTTTGCTCTAGCTGGTTGTGTTGGGTTGGGGGCAGTAATTTAGGTGACGGAGTACAGGCCTTCCTTCTTCGTATTTTTTTTGTTCGTGAAATTGAAGGAGCGGCCGGAAATTTGATGGTCGCCGGAATTTTGCTCTAGCTGGTTGTGTAAGGTTGGAGGCAGTAATTTAGGTATGATAGGAATGGGTGGGGAAGTGGGTTGAGGTGGAGGGTAATTTGGGAAAGTCAAAGAAATTTTTACATTTTCTTAAAGTGCGTGCCCGGTCAAACCGGGAACTTTAATAATGGACGGAGGGAGTATTTATAAATTAAGATGTAATTAAAAACACAAAAATAGTAAGTAACACCAAAAAGGTGTGTTGTAAAATAAAATGTTGAAACGATAAGTAACACAAAAAAGTGTAATTATTATTTATAAATTAAGATGTAACGCGTGTACAAAAATGTAATTAAAGGTATATTAAAATTATGATATGGTGTTATAAAAAAATTAATTAACATGATACCGTACAATTATAAAATCTCTATATTAGAGATATATTAAATTTATGATATTATTGTACCTTACAAGAATAAAATCTCAATATTTTATTAGATTTCATTTTCTATCATTCAAAAATGATCTTAACTTTGTAACGTAAATATGACATATGCAACGCACAGGTGTGAAAGTACTTACTTTAAAAATCATTTCGCTAAATAGCTTTAGTGTCCACGTGGTTTAGAAAATTATCACCAATCATTTTCCAGTATTTCTAGACAAAGAGGTGCATTGATGCCTATTTTCTAAATCATATGGAGCACACATGCTCATTTCTTATTTTCATTTATTACTTTGTATTTTTCCTTTTTCACCTTTTATCTCTTAGTTACATATTCCTAGAAAAAAAATTTAAGTTTTTTATTAATGTTTTTGAAATTTAAAAATTCTTTGTACTTGAAATAATAATAAAAATATTAACATATACCCCATCTATCTTAAATTAAAAATTTTTAATTTTTGTTTTCTATTATAGTGTTTTTAGTAAGTTCAAAAATAAAATAAAAAATAAAAAACTTAAAAATATGGAATAACAAAATGAAAAAAAATAAAACATTTAAAAGAGCCTTATACAAAAAGAAATTTCAAGATGTCTACAAATGTCCTTAAAATTGGGATGTCTAAAAAAATATTCTTTTTTATTTTTTCGTTTTATTTTATTTCTTATTTTATTTCTCCCTTTTTGAAGTTGTCAAAAAGACCTTTTACTTTTTTATTTCAAAAAGAGATAAAAATGTTAATTTGAGACGTACAAATGTAGTGTATATGAATTTTTTCACACAAAGATAATTTTAAATTTTAAAACATTATAAAAATAATTTTATAAAGAAATTTCAAAAACTTTGATTAATAAAAAACAAATAAATGGAAAAAAATTAAAAAACAAAAAATAAAAGAAAATAAGAAATGAGCACGAGTGCCCCCTACGATTTTGAAAATATGCATCAATGTCTTCTTCTTTGCCGAGAAAAATGGAAAAAAATGATCATAGGAGATATGAGTACAATACTTTCATACCACGAAGACTTTAGAAATAAGTTTTGAAAAATGATGATTATTGGTACTTATTTTCTAAACTACGGTGGGTACTGGTACTATTTGACCAAAATCATTTAGTGAGTTTCAATTCAGAGATATAATAATAAACTATAGATTTTAAAATCTATGAAAAAAATATAGAGTATGTGTTCAAAAAATGTAACACAAAAATGTTTGAAGAAAACATAAATGGAATTAAATTATAGTCACAGTTGTTGCTTCATTTAATTTTTTATCTTTTTTAAATGAAATTCAACTTATTGTCTTGTTTAGATGACATTATGATTGCAATTATTGATGACAGTGTAGAAAACAACTAATGACAAATTGAAGAGCAAGCCTCACATGACAATGTGGTGGTGACAAATGGAAACATACTTTTTAATGACAATGTGGCGATGGTTGTCGACTGATTTTGACGATGAGCACTGACTGTCAATTGTTTTGATATGCAATGTTTTAAAATAGTACTTTTAAATTTAGTTTTTTTGATTGAGTTTGAAGACGAGCGGAAGTTGGCAATCAATAGGATGGGCACTCTTTAAAAATTGTAGTTACTTTTTTAATAAAAATTGAATATTGATTTTTGTTTCAATTTTTATATAAAGGGCATACTTGTCTTATTAAATAACTTTAACTCGTATTCTTTCAATTTTGGTTTATGAGATTTTATTGAAATTATTTTCAATTCAATCTATTTGATTGTAAATATAAAATTTAAAAATTAATATATTTCAAAACTATATAAAAGTTTTTCAAAATATGAACTTACATAATTAAAGCATAAATTAAGTAACAAAATATAGTAAATGAATAAAGTAAATAAAATTTCACCATATGATTAGCGAATATGACATTTTTTGGACAGACGGATGTTACATTATTTTAGTTATTTTATCTTCACGATTTTTTTTAAAATTATAATCACCTGATAAGTTAAAAATTACTTATAAACAATAAGTCAATAAGAACGTGTACAGCCAACTCTCTCATTTCATTTTAATTTTTTAATCACGGTAGTACGTAGCATATTTATCAAATACAGTAAAGTACTCCGGAAATGAGAATGAACTCCATGATTTCCATCGGTTATAACTAACTAGCAAGAAACGTAACAAATTTTGGAGGGAGTTAGTATTTCATTTCAAATATCTTGTTGAAGACGAAAAGAAGTTAAAGCTGCTCCCAAAGTTTTCTGCTGCGAGCAGCGAGCTTGAAGTTCTCATTCGCGCGCGGAAGAGTGGAAGCGCGCCGCGCTTTCAACAGTTCCGAGCGTGCAGCGATGCCGTCATCTCGCAACAGCGCCGTCGGAAGCGGTGACGCCGGCGGCAAGACAGCTAGAGAGGAGTCTTCTATCAGGGTTCCGGCCATGGACGCCATGAAAGACGACGATCTTGTGAGTTAATTTAAGTCCGTTCTCACATACAGGCCAAAATAGGTTGAGATTCTTCATGCTGAAATCGATAGTATTTAGGCTCAATTTTTCTGCTAATTCAGAGAATTACGGAGTATTGATCAATCAATAGTTTATACGAGTAACAATTTAGGAATAGAATTCAATTTAAATTGGCATTCAACAAAAAACAAATCACTTACATGATACGGAATATTAGTTTTCTAAGAGCAGGATATCAAATTATGAACAATGACTCAAGTTTTGACCGGTCAATTACTCAATTCTATCAATTAATCACATATTAAATCATCAGGTTTCATAGTTTAATACTGTATTCAATCTATGAAGAAAGCTGGAATGGGAATGTATTTGTTTTTTTGCTTTTACTAATTTTATCCAAGTCCATTTGGTTTGTGAGGGTGTTGTTATGCTTATCTATCTGTTTGTTACTACCATAATAGTCCGAGGAGGATTTGGCGTTGAAGCAACAGCTAGAGTTGTATGTCAAGCGTGCACAGGACCCCGACCCGTCATTGCAGGCTGTTGCGCTTCAGGGCATGAGGTATTTTACCCTCAAACATTTCTGTAATCTTGGATTAGTTAGGTTACTTTAATGCGCTGGTGAAACTTGTTTGTTTAGACTAGTTGTTGGGGGCAACTTCATGTTTATGGGGCTTAATTTAATATTCATAGTTGTGCTGTTCAAGATGAATCATTATATCAATATACTCATTTCAGTATTAATCTGCATGATGAGAAATTGAGGACTTAGTTCTTTCCATCATCACACCAACTTTTATTGAACACTAAATCCTACGAAATGTGATGGTCACTTGGCAAATCTTAAACAAGTATCTATTCTGTATCAAGTATCAACTTATCTTCTCTCTTTCTTTTCTCTTTTTCTTTTTGAATAATTACAGCCAGGAAATTCAAACAGCAATAAGCTCTATGACATCTGTCCCAAAGCCAATAAAATTTTTGCGTCATCATTATGGGACACTGAAGTCACACTATGAGAACATGCCTAATTCTGATGCAAAGGTGTCGATATCTTTCCAATCTTCAGATTTTATGTGTGACTTTATCAGGTGTATTTTGTAACTTGGAACTAAAATTTGCCCATGTATGTAGAAACTTATGGCGGACATACTCTCTGTTTTGGCTTTGACAATGTCCACAGAAGGAGAAAGGGTATGTTTATAACGTTTTCTATGGTTTCATCATGCATCCATTAGGTAATTGGGTTGTCTTCCTACATTTACTTTGTTGTCCATGGATACTATTTACTCCATGTATGATTACTTGTGAAATACGGAGTATATTGCAAAACGCATGCAATGTTTTGATGTTTCTTTTAGATTTAAAAATGAATCCGTGTAAGGGGTAAGCTTTTGAACTTTTTTTCTGGAATTTCAGTTTGCAGGTAATTTGAGGTAAGTGTTTATTATTATCGTGTTTTTTATGTTCAGGAAAGCTTGAAGTATAGACTACTGGGATCTGATGGCGATGTTGGATCTTGGGGCCATGAGTAT